TACAGAGAAGAGGCTGGAGGCCCAGCAGGAACTGGGAGGAAAGGAGAGTTGTGACTTTGGGTTCCCCCCAAGCAGAGTTGAAGACAAAAGCTTACACAGAATAAGCAGTCAATCTGGGGAAGTTCCCCAGGAACAGGAGGCAGGGACAGGGAATCGCTGCACACGAAGGGAAGGAGAGACATACCTGGGGCGCTGCGTTACCGAGTTAGTCTCCACAGAAGACCCCTGGGGTGTGGTCCGGCTGTTTGCCTCCGAGGAGCCCTACAGAATGGGATGCAGAATTGTCCACTCAAGGGAAAGAAGACGAGACATTTATCCACCAGTTCTCACCCCTGCTGGCCCACTGTCACCTTGTGGCCCTTGTCTCTTCCAGGTTTGTCTATGGTCAGTCCCAGTGTCCCAGGAGGGAAGTCCCAGGGCAAGGTGACATCAGGACACAGCTGGAGTGAAGATATTGTGGACAAAAAGGGGTCACATACTACACTTGACAAGCTCAGGGAGGCGTGCCTGGTAGCCTTACAAACTCAGAGACCTAAAGTAACCACGTAGGATTTTCTAAAATTAAGACTTTTTAACTAAAAGCAATTTGTAGAGGGTAGTCAGGGCCTAGGCTAGAATCTTCCCTGACAAAGGTCAACCATCACCTTGCTCAAGCCCTGTCTATTGTCTTTCTGTGTCTGTGATAATGAAATGGGAACAGTCAGTGTTTGTGCTGCCTGTCACTCCCAGAACCAATAATCAGAGACAAGGATTGGATCTTTATGGGTGCTTTATTCAGATGGCCAGTGATCCGAGAAGACAGTTGGTTATGTACCCTCAAAATCCGTCTTCACGTCTCAAGCTGACCTTTTTACAAGGAGAAGAAAGGGTAGGTAGGGGGTTTGGGAATAAGGTTAATTGCATAAGAGTTGCAGTCTGGCACACTTTGCCTAGTACTTCTTTATCTGCGGATCAACAATTCTTTATCTGCATCAGAGGCATTCCCTCCCTGGAACACAATGGCTCAGATGCCATCTTCCTCAGGCCCCTGGGACACAAAGGTTGAATTGCTTGTCACTTCCTGGAGTCACACCTTCATGCATTCCAGTTTCAGGAATAACAACTTTCCAGCGTTTGCATTAATCACTTAAGCCAATCAACTAAGGCTAGAATCTTTAGCTCTTGAGTTCCCCTGTCAAAAACACACCTCTGTAATGTCAAGGTAACTTCCCTTTTTCCACACTTCTGGGCCACAACCACTGCACCAGAGTAGAGACCACAAATTCTGCCTCCATCTATGTAAAAGGAAGTGTGTCTGTCATTTTACTTTTTTATCCAATCCCAGTTTTCCCACTTTGCTTTCTCTTACCTCCCTAACCTATCACCAGTGGATTTCTGTAACCCCCTTACAGAAGGGGGTTACAGAAATCCCCATTACATACCCCATTACAATCTATTGATTGTAATGTATAAAATAAGGTGCAAAACAGCCATTTTGAAAAGCATTTTCTTGTTGAGGTTTTTGTTTTTTGAGGTTTTGTTTCCCCAGCAATTTCTTTGTTGAGGTTTTGTTTCCCCAGGAATTGCTGGCCCTTTGGCTCAAACTCATAAAAATTCTTTCAGGTTTGGACATTTCTTGTGTTGATAATAATATGAACTGGAGGATGACATGAGAGAGGAGTGAGAACACACAGCAAAAGAATGGAGGCAGGAAAGAAAAGAGTGGGTGGTGATGGGGAGGGGAGGACAAGACAAACAGGACCAGTCGCCGTTTTGGGGAGCAGTGATGCAACGGGGCACAGGCAGTCCTTCAGCATCTGGGGACGCTCTGTGGAGCTCCTGGGACTGGCTGGGATAAGCCCTGGGTGTCACAGCCTCTCCTGCCACTAGCCCCTGGCAGGCCCTCCTGCAGGGATCGTCAGACCCCACCCCTTTGTAGCCAAGGGCCATCTCTTTTGGGCCTCCCAGGAGGATAAGCTGTGTCCTTTGTGTTTCTGGCTCCTCAGCTCAACAGCACCGACTGGGGGTTTCTGGGCAGGTGATTATACAAGAGGATCACGACCTGTCGGAAAGAGAGCAAGCTTCCTGCAGTCCTTGCGGCAGTGGGAAATCCAGTTTGGACTGTGGTTGTCCTCCCCCTGGCCCTCGATGTTGGGTGGGTTTGAGGAGACAGGCTTCTGAAGTTTAAGTGGGAATCTTGGGAAAGGAAGATGTTGCCCATCTGGCGACTTGCAAGACTCACGGCAGAAACCATGAGCAGAATTAAAAGGCAGAGCAGCCCTACTAAGGACTTTAAGTGACACAATTTTCCAAGAAGTAGAATTAGTAAAAAGGTACCATTTTTTTCCTGCAAAATAAAAGGATAATTTCTAAGGTCCCCTTCTTGGCCTGATGGTTACTCACAGTTACCAGTCAATGACAATCACCCAAGTGGTGGAAAAGCCTTTGGAAGTTGGTCGAGGTCCTGCTGGCCTGGGGCTTGCTCGCCTGGCTGGTGGGGGCCTGTCCAGCCTGCTAGCTCCACACCTATCCTGTAACTCTCGGCTTTGTCTCTCTTCCAGGGGGCCCCATCCGGCTTCCCCAAATCCTGATGCCTTTGCACTGACTCCTCAAGAGAGGAGTCACATGAAATACTCCGCTTCCTTTAATTTAAAGTTATTGTTGCTGCTGTCAGTCTATTGAAGTCCTTTGATGAATGCTTGCATTGTTCTCACGCCCAGAGCCTTTTTCAAATGATCAGCACATTATAAAACACAATAACACGTCTAATTCCTTCTCCAGCACACATACACAAAGGCACTGCTAAATCCCCCAGATACATAGGTACAGTAGTAAAAAGAGTCTGGGATTGGAGACAGCAGAGCGAGGTTTGGTCCTCACGCTCTCTCATTTCGTGCTGGCAACCTCGGGCAAGTCATTCACTCACTCATTCAACATTTATTCAGAATCTCCTTGTGTCAGTCATTTGTATACTCGGCAAAATGTTAACAATACCCTCCCTCACCACCTTTTAGGACTGTTTAGAGAAGCTAATGAAATCATACTCTGAAGTGTTCAAGGTAAGCTCTATGCAAATGTATGTCGTTGGTATTAATCAGCAAAAAGACAAAAACAGAATTGGAGAGGTGGGGGACGAGGGACCAAACCGTAGAACTCGATACATCACTTCTCTGAGAAAGACACCTGTTCTGGGCTCTCAGGCTGTGCCCTGCACTCAAGCTAGCCTTTGCCTGGATACCTTTCTCTTCATCTCTGTCCTTGGACATCCTGCTCTTCATCCAAGGCCCTGGTCAAAAGCCTTCCTTTCCACAAAATCCTCTTAGCTCTTGGGACTTACTATATCCCACCACATGTCCCTTCTCTGCTTCACACCTTGCTGTGTTCCACCTATAAACGATTGCGATTTGTTTCCAGATTGAGCCCTGCTATCAGACAGACAGTAGTGTTCTTGAGGCGGGCGACTGTGTGCTCTTCCAGGAACCCTGCCTCTGCCCCTTTAGCTCACGTGACCTTGGTCCAGTGCACTGTCTGAGGATTAATGAAATATCTCATGTCTAGGGCCTAACACTTGTGTTTGGTGGGCAGGCTTCCAACAGATGTCTCCTGAATGAAACTGAACGGATGCATGCTTCGTTGGGCCCTCCTAACAAGGTGGCTACTTAATATGCATCCACGAGGGATGTTGGGACAATCCTCCTCCAGTAACATTTTCCCCACCAGGATCTGGTACCTGAAATGTCACTGGGAAAGATCAATTCCTCCTCAGAGGCACTCCTTTGAGTTTCAGTTCTACCGGGAGAGACAAAGCATTATTAAGCCAATCCACCTCCTGGATTTTGGGTGATGGCAGCATTGGCCGTCAGTGAGGAGGTGGACACGGTCATAGGGAAGGTGGAGGCTGAAGAGAGAGTTGGCCGAGGACTGGGCTTGCTTAATGCAACGTGTTTATTTAACACTAAATATGACATATGTGTTGGAAGCCAAACTTTCAGGATCCTGTGTAATTATTTCTGGTACCAATAGCCATTCTCCAACAATGACTGGGTATACAACAATTCAGGTCAATTCTGACACCAACTACCCAGAGGTAATGCAGACCCCATAGGTCTAGGGCTCCATCCCACGAAACCGTCCCACTTCAGATGCCGGCCATAACTGGGATCCCCTGGCTACCCACACTTCTGCTCTGCAAACTATAATTTTGGGGGTTCCCATGACTCCCCCTCAAGTTCCAGAATGCAGGAAGGCATTTTACTATTGTTGGTTTATCGAGGATACAGCTCAGAAACAGCTGAGTGGAAGAGAACCATGGTGGGGGAGGGGGAGGAGCCTCCGGGGGCCTGTCCAGGTGAGTCAGCTGCCCCACATCTCAGTAAGTTCGCCAACCTGGAAGTTCTGCTCCCCAAACCCCATCATTTAGGGGTTTTCGCTGAGGTTTCATCAGGTAGGTACGATTAACGAAGTCACCGGCCAGGGGTGACTGAACTCAATCTCCAGCCCCTCTCCCCTTCCCAGAGGTGTGTTTGGGAACCAAAGTCCCAACCCTCTCGTCTTGAGGTGGGTCCCCTGGCAAGCAGCCCCCATCCTGAAGTCACCTAGGGGCCCACCAAAAGTTACCTCGTTACCATCAACTCAGGTTGAAAGTGCTTTCTTAATAACTGAAGGCACTCCTATCACTCCGGAAACACCAAGGATTTTGTCCTCTGTGCCTGAACTGAGGACAAAGACTGTATATATATTTTGCATCACACCACAGAAGCCCTGATGTTGCTCTTACTTAAAACACCGTTGTTTTCGGAGCCGAGGAGGAGAAGGCGGAGGTCAGGGGCCATCCTCCGTAAAGCTGGTGTTTTGGTTGCTCTGACGTCCTTACAGGTCCTTGAGTCCTTTCCTCCAAATAACAGTGTGCCTTTGGAATGTGTCCTGTCTGCCACCCATCAGGAAGCTCCGTAGGGCTGCAGGCCCGCCCCTTCTTTCCCAATCACTGTGTTCCCTTCTTTCTGCTCCTCCCGCAGTCCCCAGTCAGCCCTTTCCCCTCCCGGGGGCCCGACTGGCTCAGCCTGGGCTCAGTTGCTCTCCCTTCTCTCCACGTGGTCAGTGGCCTGGGCGACCACTTTCTGCTCGGTTTTGACAGCAACCCTCATTAGAAGACCAGGTGAGACTGTCATCTCCGCTTCCCCATTAGTGCTTTAAAAATGAACCCCAGGCTCCTCACACTCACATGCAGCACCCCCACCTCCCTTCTGGCCACACCTGTCCTCTGCCACCTGGCCACAGGCTACCTTGCCCCGGAGGTGGAGGCGCCCTCTGCCCAACAGCCCAGGGGCTTTCCCACCTCTTTCCCCTCCCCCTTCTCTCCAGGTCGGCTCCTCTGCACTCCTGTTCTCTCAGTCACACGCATTTGTGGAACGTGTCCTGCCTCCCAGGCCCGTGCTGGACGCAAGAGGGCTGGAGGGAGGATGACAGGAGCTCCGTCCTGGAGGCACTGACTCTCTCCCTCCCTAGAAACAACTGCCGGCAGACACGGGGTCCTTCCCCAGGCACTCCCCGGTTGCCTCCCTCCCAGCCTCTCACCTACTTGGCACCTGGCACCTCTTCCTTGTTTTGACGTCCTTTCAAGTTTCTGAGTCTCCCCAGCGGAATGCTCAGACGGACTTCCTCCATTCACATCTGTGCACTGAGTGCCTGCCCCAGGGCACAGCAGCAGGGGCTAGTCCCCCGCCCTGTGGTCTGGTGTGCCAGACGGATAAGAAAGAGGAGTATGTGTAACAGGTACATGGGGCGGGGGTGGGGTGACATGCTGTGAAGGGAACAAACAGTCCCGCGATGGGCAGTGGGCGCCCTGGGTAGGAGCAGGTATCAGAGGAGCCCCTTCCCTTCTTCCCACCCTGGATGTCCCACCAGGTCGGGTGTTGTGTCATACAGAGCTGTTCTTCTCACTGGAAAAATGAATCACCATTGCATTCTTTTTTTTTTTTTAAGACTTTATTTATCTATTTTTAGAGAGGGGAAGGGAGGGAGAAAGAGAGGGAGAAAAACATCAATGTGTGGTTGCCTCTCATGAGCCCCCCACCAGGGACCGGGCCGTGACCCAGGCATGTGCCCTAGACTGGGAATTGAACCAGCAGCCCTTTGGTTTGCAGGCCAGCACTCAATCCACTGAGCTACGCCAGCCAGGGCACCAATGCATTCTTGACGAAAAATTTAAAACTGTCCTTTGCTTTTATTTCCAGTTTTTATTAGAAGTTAGTTACAGACTTCCAATACGGAAGCAGTGTCAGAACAATCACCTGATTGGAAAAAGAGACTTGGAGCCCAAGACAGAGGAACCTGGATTATCTACCCCGGAGGACGGAGGGGGCTGAGAGAGTGTCCCTCCCAGTCACCCTTGGCCACTGGATGGCTCCGTGTTCACGACACCCTTGTGCCCAGTTTCATTCTGGTTCCACGTGAGCTTGCTGCTGCTCTGGAAAAATGAGTCCTTTGAGAAGGCAGTGCCACCGCACTTGACCAGTGTGTCTGTGTCTGTTGGAGGCACTGGCGTGGAGTGTCACCATTGGAATAATGTTCTGTTTATGGAGCGTTCTCTCTGAGCCGAGGGTTGTCCTGAGGACCTTACACATGGCTAATTTCACCCTCAGCCCTCATGAGAGTCTGCAAGGTAGCATCAGGGGCTGTCTGCATCTGACACGTGAGGACACTGAGGCTCGGCAAGATTACAGAATTGAGGCCGAATCAGATCCAAACTCAGATCTGTCAGAGTCCAGAACCCCTGGGCTTGCCCTGACAACCATGTCACTTTCTGCTGCTCAGAATCTTTAGAATGCTTCGAGATGGCCTCTGTATGGAGCATGTAATTAAATGCTGTGGAATGATGCTCTGAGGCAGAGCACGTCATGTTAACTCTGGAAATGGTGACTTGTCTGGGGCTACATGATCACCTCAGTGCAGAGGTTCATTCCCATCCCCAGCCCCGGTTCAACTGCCTTACAGGGGTACGGGGAGATCTAGTGGGGGCTGGTTACACTGGGGATGCAGGGGCGGGAGGTGGTTGTGCCGAGGAAGGGATAGCTGGGTTTTCAGCAATCTGACACAAAAAGAGAGGGCAGTCCAGAGACAAGGGTTCTGTCCCTGGGTCCTCCATTTTCCTCAGCTAAAGAGTGGTTCTAATAATAGTGTCCACCTTACAAGGCCAAGTGGTAGAAGCAACCTGCTGGGCCAGGGGGGAACAGACTGCAGAACAGTCAGAGCAAGGCCAGTGACATTCTGATGCTACTGCTCAGGTCCCCATTTCTAACACGTACCTGCTGCAAGCCCAGACCCGTGCCAGGTGGTGCGTCATGAGCAAACAATAATGCTGACAGACTTGGCCTTGGCCTCTAGGGCTTATAACAGAAGTTGAGAGGAGAATGACCAATACGATGCGGTAGTAACACTGCAGAGAGGCCGAGGGGTAGACATATTTGCAGGGCAGTGTCTGTGAGCAGAAAACACTTGACAGAAATGTCTGTAGATACAATGGGATGTCCAGCACTTCATGCTCCTACAGAGGGGGTAGACAAAAGCAATCACCCTTTATAGCAATCTAAGTAGGATAGCAATAGGGATAATAGTAATTAGTGTATCAAATGCCCCAGCCTCCAAAGATATGCACAGTCCATTCATTGTAGGGAATTGATTTGTTGGTGTTGTGGAAGAAAAGGGGCCACATGTTAACCTGACAAGCTCAGGGGAGGCCTGCGTGGCAGCCTTACAAACTCTGACCTAAAGTAACCTAACCACAATGGATGGTCTGAAATGAAAACTTTCTAACTATAAGCAGTTCATGGCAGATGTTCCTGTCCCAGGCCAGTAACAAAGTCAACCTTTAACTTAACTGAGCCTGTCTGTTGTCTTTTTGCATCCATGATAACATACCTTTGGAATGTCAAATTTCCTTTTTCCTGACCCCTCAAAGCACAGGCGCTGCACCAGGGGGCAAATCCCCTCATTGTTATTGTTATTATGTTAATTGTTGACTATTAACTATCCTGTACCCACCAGTGGAAAAGTGTCTATTATTTTACTTTTTACCCAACCCCAGAGGTTTCCCTGTTTAGCTTTCTCCCGCCTCCCTTATCTATCTCTAAGGGATTTCCTGTATGCCCCTTGGGCCTCCCTCTTTTGATGGTAATATATAAAATAAGGTGCTAAAGTGCCATTCTCTGGAGCATTTTCTCAGTACATTGGGATTTTGCTTCCCTGGAACTGTCTTCAGTTTGGCTCAAATAAACTCAACAAAAATTTTCTACAGGTTTGACTGTTTCTTGAGTTAACAGTATTAAACAGGAGGAGCCACGATGGTACTTCAGGGCCCTACACCAGTATGTCTATAGCACTGGCAAAATTAAGTCTGTCAGGCTGTTTTAAAACAGAACGTATTGGTCCACGTTCATTCATTCAAGAGTGACAGCTGTGATCTCAGCAGTTGTTTTCTTTTCTGTTTCCCCTGAAAGAGCCTCCGCTCCTGTCACCATCCCACAAATTCTCAAATTCCTCGAGGACGAAGGCAGCACAGAAATGAATGAATGAATGAATGAAATAACCTAAGAGGAAATGTTTACCTGACACACAGTATGTTCTCAGTTCATTGCAAGGAGACCACTGGTGCTAATGGCTGAGAAAGCAGGTTCTAGAGTTGGGCTGCCTGTGTGGGAGTCCAGTCTTGCCACTTACTGATGTGTGACCTTGGGCAGTTCCTTTTATCATTCTGTGCCTCAGTTTCCACCTTTGTCACCAAGGGCTAGTAATACAGCCAAATTTATAGGGCTGTTGTGAGGCTTACATAAATGAATCGATTTAAATACATGGTACAGTGCCTGGCATATAGTAGGCACTCAATGAAAATTAGCTATTATTACAGGCTTATAGGCAGTCAGAATAAAGGAGTGAATTGGGGGCAGCTGAAGGTTCTGATTTAAAGGGGAGACTGATGTTAATGGGAGCGTGGGGCCAGAGCTGTGATTTTCAGAATCTCCTCCTGAGGATTGTCACACCAGGTCCCAGCACGGCTCCTGAAAATGTAAATACCTTTTACATTTTCTTCTCAAGCCCTTATTTATTTATGTCTCAAAACTCTCTCTGCTTTTAAGGAGCGCAGCCTCCTGGCCAGGTCTTGAGTAGTGTGGTTTGTTCTGAGCACCTCTTTTACCGGCCAGGTGGCCTGTGCCCACTTCACCTTCCCTCCGAGTCCCGCGTCCGGCAGGTTTCTCCCATCTCAGGCCTCGAGAAAGACGCTCGAAAACTCATATTGTGCACCGGTGCGCCACCCTCCCCACGGAAAACCGCAAATCAGAGGAGCGACTGTGCTGCGGTGGAATTTGGGGCGTCTGCAACGTATTTAGGGGCGGGGCGGGGTCTCCCTCCGGGACCCTGTACCACCAGCAGGTGGCCATCTACCTGCGAGATCTGCCAGACCTCGCAGAAACTTGAACGGGACGTTGACGGCACTGCATGAGAAGAGTACAGCTGAATCTCCCCGAGCTGAGCACTGTACATCCTCGTAAAAGAGGGGGGAGAAAGGTGGGGACTCCCTGTTGGAGTGACTCAAGCATTCAGACCCCACGAACTTCATTCAGGAAAGCTTCAAGAGGGGTGAGTACGGAGCAGCCTATGGAAAAAGGAGAGCCTCCTTTTCTTAGGGCATTGTCCTTGGCTTGCATTGACTAGCTTTCCGAACCTCCGAGAAAGATTTTTCTGGAACGGAGGTGCATGATCAGATGGTGGGAGCGCGGGAAAGAATCCTGGGAAGGCGGTGCCTGCGCGCCCGGCTCTCTGCATTGGGAGGAGCTCGAATTCCCTCCCGCCAGATGGCGCTGTCTGGCTTCCCTTTGCCCTCCCGCTTCGGTCCCTGGAGGCTCCTGCCGCAGCGGCCGCTCTAGCCGGCTGGCGCGGGCTCTGTGGTTCCGGGCGGAAGTGAGGCGCGGAGCGGAACGGCCTCTGGTGACATTTTCTCCGGGCGGCGCGGACGAGTGAAGGGACTTGGTGGTGTATCCTGAGGAGGCGGCGAGATTTCTTGTGACCCTGGAGGGTTTCTGACCGCGCCTCTCTGCTAGCCAGCGGGGCTTGGTCTGAGTGGGAGAAGGCGGCGGTGGGCGTCGCGTTCCGAGTCACCGCGGCCGGCAGAGTCCCGGCCCGGCGGTCAGTGCGTGCCCCGACGGGGCGAGCGCAGCGGACGAGGAGGTGCGGAGCCGCGGCAGAGAGCAGGTGAGGCGTGAATGGGCGTCGGGCCGCGGCCGGCTGCGTGTCTAGCCGCCGCACCCGGGCTGCGTCCCGGGGAGGGGTCGGGTTGAGTCGAGTCGTCGGGGTGCGGGCCGCGGGTGAAGGCTCTGCGGCGTCCGGGCGCCGGGGCGGTGAGGGTCCACCGGCGGGTGTCGGGTGTTCGCGCCTGGAGTTGCAGGGAGGCGCGGCCCGGGTCGAGGCTAACTAGATGGTTTGGTTGCTGGCTCGCCCGCCGGCTGGTGACCCTCTCGTCCTCCCGGCTCGCCGGAGTTGGCGGGCCGAGCCCCCGGCCCTCCAGCCCTCCCCCAGACCGCCGGGGCCCGGGCGAGGCCGGTCCCTTTCCCCGGCGGCTGAGAGTAGTAGGCTGGAGGTGCTGCAGACCGCGGGCCGCGCGGCGCAGCGGCTTTACGGCCCTGGAGTTGCTTTCACGCAACTTTTCGGCGCCCCGGCGGGCGGGGGAAGCGGCGGCGGCTGCACCTCTGCCAACTCTGCGGGCTCTGCCGGCCGGGGTCTGGCGCCGACACCTGCCCCGACTCCTGAGAGCCCAGGCCGCCTCCCCGGCGCAGCGGTGGCCTAGGAGGAGGGAGGAAAGCTTTCTCAAGCGCGGTGCTTTCTGCCTCTGGGCGCTTTCTTTTGGTCGGCAGACGCTTCTGGTCCTCGGGAGGGATACGTCAGTCTCCAAAATTGATCTCCTCTGGCGAGTTTGTCAACTTTATTTAGACAGCCGGCGAGGATGTAAAGCTACGAGCCCCAAGTTAAAGATCATCGTCTTCTCTGACTCTTCCCAGAGAGTTCTCCTCTTTTCCCCAGTGGCACTTTGAACTTTATTCCTTATAACACCGACCTCAGTGAATTAATTCTTGGAGCGGCTGCCCCCAACAGAACCAACAGCACGTCATTCATTCTGCCTTTTAAGTCGTCCTCTTGTTTGTAACAGAATAGATGCTCACAGATTGAAGGAGTGAACGTCTGTCAGTACTTGTTCTCCCAGATTGAGCCGCTTGAGCAGTGTATCCTTGGGTGCACGTTTGGTTTCTTGCTTGAGCTTTTGCTTTCTGAATCCTACCCAGTAGGATGAAAATTCCACTGATGATAGGTGACAAAGTATCCTTTGCCAAGGTAGACCTCTTGATTACAACTACATCTGGTGGTTTTGCTTAGGTTGTTACTGTGTAGTTTCGTTGGGCACCTGCTAACGGTTTGAATTACTTTTTCTTCTCCTGGGATATTTAAGGATGGAGACTATTAGCTTTTCTGATGTAGTTTTATTGATCCTGGCAATGGGATTTTTTCCAGTAAGAGCACTGCCTTATGGTTTAACAAGGATTTTTAGGGGCCTACAGCTGATAGTTACTACCCGATGTCCTGAGGAATGACAACGCTAACCGTTTTTCAGTAGGAAGTGTAATATTTTGGCAGAGTAACCTGGCCAATGCAATGCCTAGTTGAGAGCTTTATACTCAGTAAATATAAAATATAAAATTATGAATTAAATATGAATTCAGGAAACCAGATGAAATTTAGATAATCTGTATGCTACTTTAAAAAGAGCCTTAGTGAAATTTTACGCAGTTCCATGAAATGAGAAATAAAAATATTTTCAGGCATTTCTAATTTAGATTATTTCAGATTACTTTTCAGTACCACTTTAATCTTAAAACTTCAGACTGCATCCTTTTCATAATGTTTGTGTTATAGATAAAAACTTCAAAATAGGTGTATATAATATGAAAGGCAGGGAGAGACATTATGGTATTATACCTAAAGCATCAACTACATATAATTTCTTAATGGAAAGAATTTTTTTCTGACTTTTTTTTTTTTTTTTTGAAAAATGGGAGGGGCTGGATTTTGGGGCTGGAAACTTTCCCATTGCCAATTAGCTTCATACTAAGTTCACAGTGTAGCTGTTACATTACTCAGTAATTCAGTTTACATTACTCTTAAATGCATTTATGAAAGTGTCGTCATACTCTTTTTTGTAGTCTTCATGGTTTATCAGAGACCCATATATTAAAGATAAATTAAGCTTTAAATTCTAATTTAAGACAGTTCTTTTAGAACTGAGAGCTCCGTGTATGTCCCGTAAAGGTTTCTATTTTTCATAAGTGACATTGGTACCTTAAGTCTCCTTACTGTTTCACTGTTAATTTCTGGGAGTTTGTGTAGTCACTCATTATTTAAGAGGTGGTTTTGGTGGGACCTTCAATCTTATGGTTTTGTTCTGATGCGTGCATGAATAGACTTGATATATGGGTAATTAGGATATTTTTGTTTTTTTCTCTTTAAAGTTTGGAACTAGTGCATGCTAGAGACCCAAACAAACCTTACGTTTGTAACTTTGGTAAACCACTTTAGAACTTCCTAATGTTTCTGCATGTGACTAGGGACATCTTTACCAAATTGATGATACTTGAGAAAACCTGTAAAAGAGGAAAAATGGACTATGGTATGATTTCTTTTAAACTATGTTGATTTCAATATTCTCTATTATTTTAGGAAAGAGTTTGGGGCCACATAAAGTTTCTTGGGTAGCTGTAAATTATATGGTAAAAATGAAACAAATTAATTGTGAAAAGGTATGAGACTAGAAAGGTGACAAAGCTATTGAGAAAACACAGATGACAAAACATTCAGTGGCACCTCTTTATTCTCACAACGCTCATTTATTGATTGTTTCCTGTGTGCCAGCACTCTGTTTGCTAGAACTGGAGTACCGGATAAGACTGACAGAGCCCTGATGCTGCAGGAACTTAAACCTGAGGTTTTAACTGATTTCCAGGTGGGCATTCCAGGCTAGGGAGCAGCCTAAGCAAAGTCATGAGTATCAGTGATCTTGAATGGTTAAGTGTGGCTGGTTGTGAAAGTACAGTACCTTAGTCTGTTAATGAGATACTACTTCTCTTGCAGGGGGTGGGGGGAACTCAGGTGGAATATAAAAGATCAGGTAGGCAGTCCTTTAACATTTATTTCAGTGAGTAGGAATTTATTTGGTTTTAATTTTTTATTTTGGATTGATGCTTTGATAGTTATTTTTTATTTATTTTTTATGTATTTTTAGAGGGGGGGAGGGAGAGAGAGGGAGAGAAACATCAGTGTGTGGTTGTCTCCTATGTGTCCCCCACTGTGACCCGCTTGCAACCCAGGAATGTGCCCCAGCTGGGAATCGAACTGGCAACCCCTTGGTTTGCAGGGCAGTAGTCAGTCCACTGAAGCATACCAGCCAGGGCTGACAGTTATTTTTTAGTTGTCAAATTTCAGTCAGATTTAAATTTGACTGTTGTCATGGAACTTTTCTAAATCCTTAGCCTTTATCTTTAATTGTACCTACTTTCCCTACTCTTTAAGGACTCATGATTGAACTTAAGGGAAATAAACAGTGTTTTCTGCTTTTGTGTGGGCAGCTTTTCTCAGCAGAAGTGGGATTGATGTTCAGTCAGTTTTCACACTCAGCCCACGTGTCCTTGTAAAAGAAAGGAGCAGGGTGAAACTAAAAAGCGTCTTGCTTGTTTTATTTTCTTCTATGTTCCTGAACTGCTAGGGAGGATTGTTTGTTGTATATATTGTACATATTTATCACAACATATTAATAACAGCTGATAATAGTAAATGTAATTTTAAAATAATGTAAAATAGCCAGTGTAACTCAGATTTGATGGTTGTCTTATTTAGGATTTGTAGTTTTCATTTACAGTGTTTAAATTTTGTTTCTGTTCTCTTTCATTCAAAATAGGGACCTCATTCCTCTTTCCTCTGATCCTGTCAATAGCCAATAGACAGATGGTGTAAATCCTGTTATTAATTTGATTTTATTTAATTTTAAAAGTAACTGGATGAGTATTTTCTAGGTAATATTAATAAAAAGTAGAACTCTTTCCGTAAAACTTAGTTTTATTTGTATGTGGGGGTTTTTATACCTGGTTAAATTAAAAAACCCATTTACTGTCCTGGCCAGGTGGCAAAGTTGGTTGGAGCGGTGGCTTGTACACCAAAAAGTTTCAGGTTTGAGTGCCTGTGGGAGGCAGCCTATCAATGGTTCTCTCTCACATGGATGTTTCTCTCCACCCTCAGCTGCCCTGGCCCCCCAAAATCATTAAATCGTTACAACATATCCTTGGTGAGGATTTACAAAAAACAAAACCACTTACTGAGCACTTTGGTGCCAGGTGGGGATGGTTACAAAGATAAATCATTTGTCTCAGGGAACTCAAATGTAGTGAATCAGATAATTTTTAAGTTTCTTTCCTGCTCTAAAGTGTGGAGAAGAAAAGTAGGCTATATGAGAAAAAAGTACCATATAACAGAACAACTATAGTATGGAATTAGTCTTTTCCTTTATAAAATCATTTTAAATAAGGATTTGGAAGATAGCTCCTATATGGGTCTCTAAGCTTAAAAGAAAATGATTGGAATCTTGAATGTTCTTTTTGTACTGCCAGTTCATTTACAAAATACTTTTTACTCTGGAATCAAAACCATGTATTACTAAATTAGGTCTGATTGTTATTCAAAGAGGAAAAAATTAAATCTGTTAAAATTTACAGTATATACCAAAAAAACCCAAACAAAACAAAACAATTTATACAGCCATTCTTATGAATCTGGATTAACTAGGATTGTGTTTAGGTGATCTAGAAATTAATGTTTTCACTAACGTGGTTAGCATTAGGGAAACAAGATAACCAAAAAGATGAATGGAAGTTATTTTTTACTGAGTTGTCTGGTTTAAAAAAAAGCAAAAAACTTTTATGATGTCCAGAGTCAGCATTTTGTTAGGTGCCTTATAATTAGAGAAAGATATTGTTGGGGAGAGGGAACTTGGGTGTGGACTTAAACTGTAGGAAAACAGGACTGTTTTCCTTTCTGTTAAGGACAAAAGAACAAAAACTTCATGTGGTTAAGATTTTAAGCAGTGTCCTGTCCGCCTTAATTTTAACTCAGTATAGAAGTCTAGTTTATTCTTAAATCAGCATTTTATTATCAAG